CCCCATCTCTATTATAAATAGAAAGAAATTAATTGGCCAACTAAAAATATATATAGAAAAAATTAGCTGGGCATGGTGGCACATGCCTGTGGTCCCAGCTACTCGGGAGGCTGAGGGAGAAGGATTGCTTGAGCCCAGGAGTTTAAGGTTGCTGTGAGCTAGGCTGACACCATGGCACTCTAGCCTGGGCAACAGAGTCAGACTCTGTCTCAAAAAAACAAAAAAGAAGAGATATTTGAGAGCAGCAAATTCAGGAACTTCCTAGCAAGACATGCTCAATGTTTTTTACTTTATTGTGAAGCCTGTAGGAGCAGTGGGAGTAAAACAAGGGAAAATTCTGGAAACATAGGTCCAAGCTAGGCTGAAATAGAGAAAAAAATGACAATAACATTCATTAACCACATAATACGCACCAGGGAATTGTAGTGAATGCATTTCTGCAATCTACATTTAATTTAATCCTCACATCAACCATAGGGGGTGTTGATGTTGGTATTAAAGTTATTATTATTATTATTATTATGACGAGTTAGTAGTAGTAGTAGCAGTAATAGTAATGATAGTATTTGACCTAAATGTATATATAGTTGATGATTACTTAAATACATTAACAGGTCACTAAACAGCAAATATGGTAATATCCCATTTTATAGAAAATGGTAGAACAAATGTTAGACAGGAACTAAAATACTTACATCCAAATATTAACAGCTAATAGTCATTGTTTCTGGAAAGGAGAAATTATGAGCACTCTCTGATGTCATATTTTCCTTGTGTGTATGCATGTGTGTGTGTGAGTGTGTAGTGACCATGTATTGTTTTTAAATAAGAAAATATAAAACACAGTAAAATAAAATACATCATAGACATCTTGTTCCAACTTTTCCCTTTTGCAAAAAGCACAAAAAAGGAACAATTAAATGAATACTAATTAGAAATAAAAATTCAAAATAGAGAAAATAGTCTGAAAAAAATGGAACATAGTGCTTAAAGATGCATAAGAGGTTTTAAAAGAACCCAGTGTTGCACCAAATTGTTAATTCCTAAAAAAGTAATGATGGTGACTGTTATTGACTGAATTATGTACCCCCCCAAAAAAAAATTTATAGGTTTAAGCTCTAACCCCCAATGTGACTGTATTTGGAGACAGGGCCTTTAAGGAGGCAATTAAGGTTAATTGAGATCGTTATGGTGGGGCCCTAATCTGATAGAATTGGTGTCCTAATAAGAAGGGATGCAAGGAGTATGTGTGCACAGAGAAAAGGCCATGTGAGGACACAACAAGTAAATAGCCATCTCTGCAAGCCAAGGAGAGAGACCCCAGGAGAAACTAAACCTACTGTCACCTTGATCTTGGACATCCAACCTCCAAAACCATGAGAAAATACATTTCTATTGTTTAAACCACCCAGTGTGTGGCATTTTGTTATGACAGTCTGAGAAGACTAATATACTTAGATTATTTTATATTTGATCAAATCATCACATTGACCATGTTGCTTTTGGCCAAAAACAAAAACAAAAACAAAAAAACCTGCTTTAGCTTTATGGGATGTTTTGCTTATTGGTTTGCTTTGAGTTTTGTCTTTTCTACTGAGAGGAGGATGGATACTCTCTGCCCTGAGCAGAGAGCACAGTGTGGTTCCACTGGAGCAAGATGTGGGAGCAAAGGGATCTATGACATTAATTTTATGTGTCAACTTGACTGGGCCACAGGGTGCCCATAAATTTGATTAAACATTATTCTGGGTGTGTCTGTGAGGGTGTTTCTGAATGAGATTAACATTAATTAATATCTCTTCCTGACTGTCTTCTGGCTGAGACATCAGTACTGCCTTTGAACTCAGATTCAGACTGGAACTTCTGCCATTGTCTCTCCTGGTTCTCAGGCCTTCAGACTCTGACTGAAACTTGTACTTAATCCCTTCTAAGGTGAAGGAGTTGTTGCATCTGGCTCCTCCTACACCAAAAATGAGGCATAATGCCTAACGGACCTCTTTGGATTTTGGAGGCAACATATTCCTCATTTGAGTACGTTACTATGACCCATTTAACGAGCAACCCGAAAAGCTGCTAGTCTCAAGTGGGGTCCTGAATAAGAGAAGGCTCTGCGACAGGTCCCGATTGACATGCGATCTATCCTGTCACTTTGTCCATGCAATCCTGAAGATCCAGTGTTGCTTGAAGTGTCTGTGGTAGATCTGGATGCTATTTGGAGACTTTGTCAGGCCCCTATAGGTGAATCACAGTTCAAGCCCATAGGATTTCAGAGTAAAACCCTGCCATGCTCTGCAGACAACTACTCTGTTTTTGAGAAACAGTTCTTGGCCTGCCTCTGAGACTTAGTAAGGATTGAACATTTAACTATGGGCCACTAAGTTGCCACGCGGCATGAGCTGTCCATCATGAATTGGGCATTATCTGACCCACCAGTCCATAAAGTTGGGTGTGCACAACAACACTCCATCAGATGGAAGTGGTATATATTTGATTAAGCCCAAATAAGCCCTGAAGGCACAAGTACTTTATATGAAAAAGTAACTAAAATGATCATGGTCCCCACTCCTACTACACTGCCTTCTCTCCCTCAGCCTGCACCTTTGGCCTCCTGGAGAGTTTCCCATGATCAGTTGACAGAGGAAGAGAAGACGTAGGCCTGATTTAAAGATGTTTTCACACAATATGCAGGTGCCACCTGAAAGTGAACAGCTGTAGCACTTCATCCCCTTTCTGGGACATTCCCAAAGGACAGTAGTTGAAGAGAAATCCTGCCAATGGACAGAGCTTTGAACAGTGCTGTGTGGTTGCTCACTTTGTTTGGAAGGAGAAATGACCAGATGTGCAATTATACACCAATTTTATGGGCTGTGGCCAATGGTTTGGCTGGATGGTCAGGGAATTGGAAGGAACATCATTCAGAAAATTGCTGACAAAGAAATTTGGGGAAGAGGTATGTGGATAGATTTCTCTGAATGGGCAAAAAACATGAAGATATCTGTGTCCCATGTCACCCAAAGGGTGACTTCAACAGAGGAAGATTTTAATCCAGTGGATAGGATGACCCATTTTATGGATATCAGTCAATCCCTCTCCCCAGTCACACCTGTCATGGCTCAATGAGCTCATAAAGAAAGTAGCCAGGATGGGAGAGATGAATGTTATGCATTGGCTCAGCAACATGGACTTCTACTTAGTAAGGTCTACCTAGCTACAGTCACTGCTAAGTGCTCAGTCTTCCAGAAGTAGAGACCAACACCGAGCCCCCAATATGGCACCATTCCCAGTGTTGATCAGCCAGCTAGCTGGTGACAGGTTGATTACATCGGAGCATTGGATTGCTTCCATCATTAAAAGCTCAATATTTGTTCTTACTGGAATAGACACTCTGGATACAAATTTGCCTTTCCTGCATGCAATGCTTCAGCTAAAACTATCATCCATGGATTTATAGAACACTTCATGCACTATCATGGTATTCCACACAGTAGTTTCTGATCAAGGAATTTACTTCAGCCAAAGAAATGCAGCAGTGGACCCATGCTCATGAGATTCACTGATCTTACCATGTGTTTCCTATCATCCTGAAGCAGCTGGTTGGATAAAACAATGGAATTGTCTTTTAAAGGCTGAGTTATAGCAGGGCTGGAGCAAGGTTCTCCAGAAGGCTGTATGTATTCTAAGTATTCAATATATGATGCTGTTTTTCCTATAGCCAGAATTCATGAGTCCAGGAATCAAGGTGTGGAAATGGGAGTGGCACCACTCACTATTATCCCTAATGATCCAGTAGCAAAATTCCTGTTCCCATGATCTTATGCTCTGCTGACCCATAAGTCTTAATTCCAAAAGGAGAAATGCTTCCAACAGGAGAAACAATGATTCCATTGAACTGAATTTTAAGATTGCCATCTAGCCACTGGGACTCCACAGGCCTCTGACTCAACAGGCAAAGAAAGTAGTTACTGTGCTGGCCAGGGTGACTGATACTGACCAGGGGACAATTGAACTACTACTCCATGATGGAGATAAGGAAAAGTATATGTGGAACACAGGAGATCCTTTAAGGCATCTCTTAGTATTACCATGTCCTGTAAATAAAATCAGTGGAAGACTACCACAACCCAATCCAGGCAAGACTGCTAATGGCCCAGACCCTTCAAGAATGAATGTTTGGGTCACTCCACCAGGTAAAGAACCACAACCAGCTGAAATGCTTTCTGAAAGCAAAGGGAATATAGAATGGGCAGTGGAAGAAGATAGGTATAAAATACCAGCTAGGACCACATGGCCAGTTATAGAAACAAAGACTGTAATTGTCATGAGCATTCCTCTTTATTTTATGAATAAGTTTGTTTGTGTATATATGTAAAATATATTTGTTTTCTTCCCTCTTATTCTCTTATCATGATATATATTGATTATATACCATAGCATTTAAGTATTACATTGTTAATTTTACATCATAGTATTTAAGTTATGAAATATCAAGAAGAGTCAACATCAGTCAAGTATTTTGCCTTTTTTTCTGGGGATATGGTCAATTGTTAGTGCATTTTTCTTCATTTGCAGGATACTTTTATCATATTACGTGGAACTATGACCTTGTCATTGTCTTTATATGGAGATAAAGTATGATTTAAAGAGATCATGTTGGGTGCCAGGTTGACAAGGAGTTAACTTGTAATGGCTAAGTTTGTGTGTAAACCTGATTCGGCCATGGGGTGCCCAGATATTTAGTTAAGCACTATGCTGGGTGTGTCAGGAAGGGTGTTTCTGGGTGAGATTAACATTTGAATTGGTAAATAAAGAAAAGCAGATTTCCCTCCCCAGTATGGGTGAGCATCATCCAATCTGTGGGAGACCTGAATAAAACAAAAACTGAGTGAGAATTTACTCCCTGTGCCTGACTATCTTAGAGCTAGGACATTGGTCTTCTCCTACCGTACCTTCAAACTTGGATTCAGACTAGAATTTATACTATTGGCCTTCCTGGTTTTCAGGCCTTAGACTCAGAATAGAACTGTAACATCAGATCTACTGGATCTCCAGCTTGCTGACTGTAAATCTTAGGACTTCTCAGACTCCATAACCAAGTAAGCCAATTTCTTGTTGTAAATATATGTAATATATGTATATTATAAATACTATATATGTGTATATATTATATAATTATATATTTATATATATAGTTATATATAGTTATATATATATGCTATATATATAGTTATATATATAAAACTCCTATTGGTTCTGTTTCTTTGTAGATCCCAGGCTAATACAAGAACCAAATCCACGTCCAAGGAAAGGCAGCATAGTAAAGCAAGGTACTATCAGAACCTGGCTGGGAATAAAGTGGAGGATTGGGTGGGAGCCTTGTTGGTTAGAATCAAATCTGAGTCCCACATGAGAAGCACAAGATGATGAGAGTAAGTTAGGAAGGTGAGATTTGGTCAGATGGCCTGAAGTAACTATACTCATAGGGGAACTTTTATGAAGACTCAGCTGCTGAGCCTGTGCGATAGTATTATAGAAACCTTTAAAAAGCAGCCTGGACAAAAACATGAGAATCTCTTCTACTTAGGAAGGAAGGAAGAAAAGAAGGAAGGGAGGGAAGGAGAAATGGGAGGGAGGGAGGGAGGGAAAGAGAAAGGGTTCTTGTGACAACAACACGTCAGATTTATCTCTCCATCATTACTAGCTAGCTACTGAAATGTGGAGGAAAACTAAGATTGTTGCTCACTACTTCACATTCTGTTCCAATATGCCACAGACAATAATTTGAATAATTTTACTTAATTGCACATTCATTCAATCAACATACCCTTACATCTCAAAGCCATCTCCAATTATACTATATGGTTACATCATTGTTCCTAATATTTTTAAATTTATTGTAGGTTCATTTGTGATCAGAGCATAACTACAGAGATTAAGAGCCAGGCTCTGGAACCAAACTACCTAGATTCAAATCCAGGGGCTGCCTTTTACTAGCTGTGTGACTGTGAGCAAGTTACTGAACCTCTCTGTGCTTCCGTTTCTGAGGAAGTGTTATTGTGAGAATTAAATGAGTTAATAGATATAAAACACTTAGATTCACTCCAGGTGCATAGTAACACTCTACAACTGCTGGCTTCTACGATTGTTAAATGTGACATTAAACTGTGAAAGAGAGTTTATCAAAAAAAGACTGCCCTTCCTGGACTACGTTCTATTTTACTGCAATATACCATTGTTTTCAGTGATGCAGTATAATATAATAGTTTGTTTAGCTTTTCTTCTTTTTATAATAACATAATAAACCTTGCATCCTAATTATAAAATATAGAAAGTATATAGATATAAAACATAATAACTGTAAATATCTAAACATAAAATTGTAAAATATTTTGAAATGCAGTAAAAGGTAAATAAAAAAATGAATAACCTCTGTACTCAAAATAACCACTATAATTTTTTTCAATCATCTATGAATTTTTAAATCTGTTGTACAAATTTCAAATCATAAGATAGATATTGATCATCTTTTACCTTACACTGTAATAGGAATTTTTTCCTGTCAGAAAGTATAATTCATCAATGCAATTTTAATTATTGTGTGATAGACTATTGAATAAATAAACCACAATTTAGCCATTTATGTTTTTAGACATTTAGGTTGTGTCCTCCTCTTCTTCCCCCTCCTCTTCCTCCTTTTCTTCCTTCTCCCCTTTCTTCTTCTTCTTTGCTATTGTAATTAACACTTAAATATGCATCCTGGTACCAAAATTTAAATGAATATATGAATAGATGAAAGAATGGATAGATCTGCATTGAATATCTTTAACACTAGTATTCATCATCATCTCTAATTATCACCTTAGGGAGAATTCCTAGAAGTAAAATTACTAGATCAAAAGTCTTAATATTATATTGCCATTTCCCTTCAGATAGGTCGGACCAATTAAACATTCCCTCACAGCATATAAGGGCTCCCATTTTCCCGCTGTGCTAGTACCATTGTACATTCCACTTCTTTGTCTTTTTGAATTTGATGGTAAAAATCATATGCCATCATTCTTTTAATTTGATTTTTTGTGATCAATAAAATTCAAATGTGTTGACCATCTGTATCTGTTTTATGGGGTGTCTTTTAATAACTTTAGGTCACTTTTCTTTTATCTGTTACATTTTATTCATATACACACATATTTAAGTTTATATAAGGCATAAACATAACCATATCATACACAGCTGGAGTTTTTCTCTCTTTTTTCTCTTCTCTTTCTCTTTTTTCTTGACATGCGCCTATATCATCTTTGCCCTCATTTCCTGTGTTAACAATTTAGGATATATCCTTTGAGAGCTTTCTTAATGCTCATATAATCAAACATGATCAGAGTGGAACATGAAAGAGGGAAACAAAATGCACATGGGAAAGAGAGAGAGAGTGTGTGTGTGGTAAGTGTGTGTGTCAGAGAGAGAGAGAGAATTTGAATGAATGGTTAAGAACATGGACACTCTGTAGCCAAAACTTCTAGGTTCAAATTGCATTTCTGGGCCAGGTGCAGTGGCTCACGCCTGTAATCATAGCACTCCGGGAGACCGAGGGAGAGGATCTCTTGAGGTCAAGAGTTCAAGACCAGCCTAAGCAAGAGTGATACCCCGTCTCTACTAAAAATAGAAAAATCTAGCCAGGCATGATGGTGCATGCCTGTACTCCCAGCTACTCGGGAGGCTGAGGCAGAAGGATTGCTTGAGCCCAGGAGTTTGAGGTTGCTGTGAGCTAGGCTGATGTCACGGCACTCTATCCAGGGCAACAGAGTGAGACTCTGTCCCAAATAAAAAAAAAAAAAAATTGCATTTCTGCCTTTTGCCAGCTATGTGAACCTGGACAAGTGACTTTACCTTCCTGTACTTCAGTCTCATTTGTGAAGTGAGCATTATAATCATACCTACTTAATTGAGTTAATACATGCTAATTGCTTAGAAGAGTTCTAGCACATTATACATGTTATATAAATTTAACTAGTGTTACATGTAGGAGTTTGGGGTCATCAATTGTTTTACAAAAGTGATATTATAATTTACATGTCTTTTTGGAAAGAGGATCTTGTTTTCCTGATAGGAAAGCCACATACAATTGACCCTTGAATAATGCATGGGTTAGGGGTGCCACCCCACCTCCCTTGCATAGTCAAAAATCCCTGTATGACTTTTTACTCCGTAAAAACTTACCAACCAATGGCTTACTGTTGGCCTTACTGATAACATAAACAGTCAATTAACACATATTTTGTATGTTACATGTATTATATACTGTATTCCTACAATACAGTACATTTGAGAAAAGAAAATATTATTATGAAAATCATAAAGAAGACAGAATAGATTTATAATTCATTAAGTGAAAGTGGATCATTATAAAGGCTTTCATCCTCATCATCTTCACATTGAGTAGTCTGAGGAGAGGTAGGAAGAGGAAGGGTTGCTCCTGCTTTCACGGAAGTGGCAGAGGTGGAGGAAAATCTGTGTGTAAGTGGACCCATGCAGTTAAAACCCATTTCGTTCAAGGATCAACTTACTGTATTTCATTAAATCTTAAAATGCCTTTAATTGTAAGATGCATTATGATTTTATGTACCACCAACAAATCAAAAGAGCTACCAGTTAAAGATGACACAACACTTTCTTGTCCACCTAATTTCTTTCTATTTTTTTAGTACAGATGAGGTCTTGCTATTGCTCAGGCTTGTCTCAAACTCCTGACCTCGAGCAATCCTCCCACCTTGGCCTCCCAGAGTGCTAGGATTACAAGTGTGAGCCACCGCGCCCAGTCTCACAATGCTTTCTTATAACTTAGAATCTTTGTTTTATTCATATTGAAAAAGTTTTTGAGACATGTTTACGCAAAGAATTTTATCATATATTATTCCTATACATATGCTAAAAATATCTAGAAATGAACTAAATTGATCGTGATATTCCTAGAAAACTTTCTAATATTGAGTTTAACTTTTCTTCATGCTTTCAACTCAGAATCATCATCACCCATGTTTTGCACACAATAGTATTTTCTGTGTCATCAAGAAAATTGGTGGGCCGGGCGTGGTGGCTCACGCCTGTAATCCTAGCACTCTGGGAGGCCAAGGTGGGCGGATTGCTCAAGGTCAGGAGTTCCAAACCAGCCTGAGCAAGAGCGAGGCCCCGTCTCTACTATAAATAGAAAGAAATTAATTGGCCAAGTAATATATATAGAAAAAATTAGCCGGGCATGGTGGTGCATGCCTGTAGTCCCAGCTACTTGGGAGGCTGAGGCAGGAGGATTGCTTGAGCCCAGGAGTTTGAGGTTGCTTTGAGCTAGGCTGACACCACGGCACTCACTCTAGCCTGGGCAACAAATCTCAAAAAAAGAAAACAATCAGGACTCATACTCTTTTCTTTATTGATTTTTATTGAGTGAAACACTAAGAGATTGTAGTTGTCTAGCCGTACTTCCAGGAGCAACAACCACATTCATACATGCGCAGCAGGAACCCATGCTATGGCTGTTGCCTAGCCTACAGCAATTGTACAATGCCATCAGTTCTAAGGCACTTTAGAAATAAAAAACTGAAAAAAAATCTGGTTTTGAATTAACAGAATATGGTAATTCATTATTTAGATATTTTAAAAATATCCCTGTCAGTGAGATTTGGATCTCTACATAATTTTTTATTCTTCTGTGATTTGCTTCCTTATATCCTTTGTCATTTTTCTATTGGGGCATTTTCTTTTTCTTGTCAATTTGCAATAGTTTTTGTATATAATAAACTCTTTGTCATCTTTAGTACCCAAATTTTCCCAAATCTATAATTTGTTGATTTATTGTATCCTTTGTCATACCAAATATTTTCATTTTATATAGTCAAAAATGTTTACATTTTTTTATAACTTCTGGTTCTCCTGCCTTGCCAATGTCTCTGCTATTCCTAAGCTATAATTATAGTCTCGTTATTTTTCTTCCAAGATTTTAATTTTTATTTGTTTACACTTAGTACTTAATCCATCTGGGTTTTTTGGTGGTTTTCTTTTCATATAATATGAGATAGGAGTCTAACTTTATTTTCTTCCATATGGACAGCCAGTTGTCCCAGAACCATATATTAAATATTCCATCCTATTCTCACTGAATTTGAAATACCATCTTTGATATATATTAGCATCTCACATGTGCTGGGATCTATTACTTGGTACATTTTATCCTCTAATTTATCTGGAATTTATTCCTGTGCAACTGGTTATCCAGTTGTTCAGAATCATTTATTGAATAGCAGTGCCTTGTCCATTGATTTGAAATACTCTATGTATCTGTTCCATTCATCTTTCAGTTTTGGCACTGACATCTCCCCATTTCAATTTCTGTAGCTCTGTAACATGTTTTTATATCTGGTAGACATGTCATCTCTCTCCATCCTTTTACTCTTCTTTCTCAGAATTTAATTGAATGTTTTCTCA